TAAAGTTTCCACATCCAACAAAGTAATATTTAGCATCAAAAGAAAAGGGGATAGAAAAAAGGGTTAGTGAACCAGTCCAAGGAGAATGACATGGATGAGAAGAATGCCCTGGCCTGATCCAGATGGTCATTGATGTCTTTGAAGGCAGAATTCTTGATTTGGGCAAAGCCTTCAGTGGCAGATGGTGGGTGCTGATTTCGAGAGATAGCAAGGTGATATCTACGGAGAAGGCCACGTCTAGCTGGTGAAGTCTTCCTCTCTTTATGGGCCTTGAGTCCTCTTGTGAAGACTGATAGTAGGATATGGTCTTTATTGATTAGGTGCACATCTGGTCCCTGCTGGCATAATGCTTTTTGAAAAATAAGATGGAGTCTTTTTCCAAGATGGAGTCTCTATGTCAAGGGTGTCTATACAACCTTCAGCCCCTCTTCCCTCCCTGCAGGTTGGAAATGGACTGAAAGTACCAACCCTCTAATTCTGCCCTCATTTTTCCAGTGACCAGAAGCTATCTAGGGACTGCCAGCCATCAATCAACTTATTGTATACAAAAAGACATCACTTTAGAGTCTCTAAAATTTTTAGGATTTATATATACCAGGAAGCAAGGTCAAAGGCCAAATAAATATTTCATAATATCACAGTTCCCAACCTGTAAAATGTCCTTTATCATATATTTTTACCTGGATATTTCTTAAAACCCTACCCACCAAAAAAGCTTATTTCAAGTACATGAAGAAATATTGCCAACACATATTGACATATTTCTTATAAGGATATATTTTAAATTTGGATTTGCTGGTGTACATAACAATGTTAATGTTATTTTACAACTTAAATGCTTTAACAGAAAGAAACATTTAACTAGTAGATAAGTATATTAAATTTAATTGAAAAAATAGAACTAAATTTTTAATGCATGATTATAAACATTTAGCATCATATATCTTAATCATGTGATATTTTAGGAAAAAAAAAACACCAAATAACTTTTATTACTGAGATTCAAAAGTACTTTTCAAGCCAGTAAGTATCACAGTGCTAAAATAAAATAATTGTGGGTCTATTATTTCCAAACAAAAATAATATATACATTGCCTGAGAAAGAAGATTCACTTTATTTAAAGTTTTTATATCCAGAAAAATGCTCCAGAAAACAATAGATCATAGTATTCTTGGTTAGCACTTGCCTTTTAGACCATTTATTCACCTAAAACATCAAGTGTGAATATGCAATTAATACTACCTCAAAACTATTCATAGTCACTATGGGAGATATTATTTTACTGTTTAGAAAAATAATTTGTGCTACTACTTATAATGACATTTCTACAGTAGTGTATAAGAAGTAATAAACACAGGGATTTTTTTTCCTTAATGAGATTTCAATTTGGTAGGCAAAATAAAACATCAATACATAAAGAACTATTCAGCAAATATAAGTAAGAATGATAGATATAAAATAATATGGGGAAGAACTCTAGCTAGAGATCCTGAATGAATGTTCAGCTTGTAATGCAGGAGAAATAAAGGGAAAGATACCGTAGGAAGAGGGAACAATGTAGATGATATAAAAGCAGGAGATATGAGTATAATATATTCATTAAAGATTGGTTTGGATCAGCTAATGGAGGACTTAGAATGTAGGTCTATTTTAATGTAAGAAACAGTAAATGCTATGAAATGGTCAAAACTGTGATTTATTAAGCTTAACTTGGATAACTATGTACAAAATCAACAGTTTATAAACAGAATGCTTTAAGTAGGAACTAGAACAGAATTATTTTGAAGTGGAGAATAGTCATTATAAATCATCCTGTGTTAAAAATGGCTGCATATTCCAGCCATTAAGAGGTGGAATTTACTTCCCTTTCCCTTGAATGTGGGCTCATTTTAAAGACTTCTTGATCAATAGCAACATAAGTAATATTTGACACTGACAATGCTAGCTGCAAAGAAGTATTGCAGCTTCTGCCAGGGCCTCTAGGAATGCTCACTCTGGGAAAAAAACATATTATTTTCCATATGAGAAATGTGAATAATCTCAGACTGTTATGCAAGATAAGCTACATCTAGGTGGCTTACATGTAGCCATGTAAGCTTCATGTAGCTTACATGTAGGTGGCCTGATGGTCAGCCCAGACTTTCAGGCCTTCCTACCAGCTACCTGATAGACCAGTCCATTTGCCTATGGAATACCACCAGTTGTACTCAATTAACACCATATTGAGCAAAGGAGTTTTTCATCAGAAACCTGCCCAAATTTCTTACCCACACAATTATGAAGACTAATAAAACAGTTGATTTGGGGCTGCATGATTTGTTATGCAGCTATTGATAGGTAAAAATTAATTTGGTTACCAAAAGTGGTAGTGTGTTGCCATAATAAAAATTAAAGCATATGACATTGGCTTTGGGAAAAGGTAATGAGTGACAACTAGAAGTTCCTTGAGGAGACTGTTAATAAAATATGGAAGGGCCTTGAAACTCATGAAGGCTTGCAGAACAATGAGAAAATGTGATTAATATTATGAGGGGAGCAAGGAAGCATTTTGGCAACATTTACACACTTCAGGTAATTTGGAACATACAAATAATTCCTAATGGACTTTTGGAACTGATTGGGGAGATTTCCAGGCAGGATATAGAAAGTACCAACTGGCTCTTTGCTGCTTGTCTATAATAAAATCTGAGGAGATCAGACCAGATGAAGAAGAGAAGATGAGACCTGATGAGACCAGACCAGACTGGACGAGGAAGAGGAGACCAGACTGGAAGAGAAACAGGAGACCAGATGGGATGAGGAAGATGACACCAGCCCAGTCCAGGAAGAAGAGACGAGACTAGACCAGACCAAAAGAGGAGGAGTAGACCAGACTGGACAAGGAAGAGGAAGAAGAAGAGACGAGAATGAAGGAGGAAGAGGAGACCACATTGGATGCGAAAGAAAAGAGGAGACCACATTGAATGAGAAAGAGAAGATGAGACCGGATGAGGGGATGAGACCAGAGGAAGAAGAGAGTGCTAAGTTCTTAGTATGCAATATCTAATTCAGACCTCATGAACCATCCTATAAGATAAGTATTGTTCTTAACCTTGCTTACCGGTGAGGAAATGAAGGCTTAGAGACGTTATATAATCTGCCCTAGGTAACACCTTAACTCATGGAACTGAGACTCAAAACCAAGAAAAACAAAACAAAACACAGTATTGAACAGCATGTTAGCAGCAGTAAATAGAGGTATATATGTAGGTTTTCAAAAGGAGTTTAGCATGAAGGATGTCATATATTCTGTTGCCAATGTTTGAAACACAGGGACTAAAGGCATAGTTGTGCATGGCTGGCACAGCCTCTAGCCTGGGACTATGTTTAGTGATGATGATAATAAGTCATGTAACAAAGTGGTGACTTTGAAAAATTCCATATATTAAGTAATTAAAAAAATGATCTCTGACCTTCTTACCTATGTAAAAAGTACACCCTCAGAGACCATCAGTAAGCTGGACAAAGTGGATATTGAAGAAATTTATAACATTGATAATGAAGCTCCAGGTGTTCATTCCTTGACCAAGGAAGTAGATGAAATGGTTCTGAATCAAGGTGATGGTGGTAACAGTGATGCTGAAAATGATGCTGTTAACAGTGCAGAAAAAGTGCTTGTAGATGACATGGAGAAAACGTGTGATGGGCTTGTTAAAGGACTAGAGCAGCATGCCTTCATAACAAAACAATAAATCGTGTCAGTTTATCAAATCAAAGAGAGACTTTGAAGATGAAAACTGATGTTAATGAGGCAGATGACTCTGGAGGAAACATTTTCAAAAGCTGTCTAGCAGAATGACTCCTCAGAATGCCTAGAGGACCTAGCTTCTGGTTCCTTAACTACTTCTGATGTTTCTTCTCACCAAAAAATTAAATATCATGCATTTTAATCAAAACACGGTATTGTAAATAGAGGCTGAAAGCCTGCCTTTGTTTGCTGTTGCTGCTGTTTGAAAGCTGATATAGGTATTCTAGTGATGCTTTACTCTGATGCCTTGTTACCCTGAACATGTTACCTCTTCACTGTATTAATGATATATCACATATCTATTATTAAGCACTCATGTATGAATAAATGTAAAAAAAAATGATTGCTTATTGGAAGCATATAAACTCAGAGTCAGAAATGATGCTGCTATCTCACAACTACAAATTCTCCTGGGTGGCTGAGATAGTGATTCTTTTGCTTTCTGATGGTTCAATGTATACAGATTTGGTTTCATGCACAAAATTATTATTAAAGATATTACATAAAATCATCTTCAGGCCATAAGGTGTATATAAAATATAAACAAATTTTGTGTTTAGACTTGGGTATCATCTCCAAGATATTTAATTATGTATATTAAATTATTTACAAATCCAAAAAAATCCAAAATCTGAAACACTTTTGGTCTTAAGTATTTCAGATAAGGAACACTCAACTTATGAATGTCCATATTGAGCAGAAAAATTATGAAGATGAGCACTGCTGAAATTTCTTTAAAAAATCATGTGATATAATAAATTATTTGTTGTTAAATTTTTGGTTAATTTGTTATACACAAAAATATAGATAATGTAAATGGCAATCCTTAAGAAATGGACAAAAAAAGAGAGGGTATAATTCTGTGGTTAAAGTCACTGAGGAAGAACTGGAAGTTTAACAAGAAATATTGAGTTTAATTCTTGAACATATTTTTTATATTGAAATTATATGGGAAAACTCATAAATTAATGTGTTGATTTGAACTCTTCTTAAACAACAAAATGAGAAAGAATTGAAAGGATCTTCTGCAGGACTTTCTCTTTACTGGAATTTATATGGCAAGCATCTTAATACTTTGAAAAGTCTCTTACTTCTAACAGTACAAAAGAGCATTATCTTACACATTTTTCTGTCAAAGCTGACTGCAGATAAACATTGATTCAATTATTATATAAATCATAAATAATATAATTTAAAAGATTCAGTGACATAAAATGCATTTCTAATTAGAAAAATTAAATTCCTTCCAATGTCCATTGGAAAATCAAAAAGGACTTCAAAGTCTTCTAGATGTTCATATCTTCAAAATAATTCATATCAATCCAGCTAGTCTCTGGTGGCTGTATTAGAAGTACTCAGGTTGATAAAGACAAATAGCATCTTTCCCTGCCAGTGAAAAGATGAATTGAAGTCATAAATTACATTTTCATCTTTGATTTAAGGTAATAGACAGTGTCTTATGTCAAAATGGATAATTATTTAAATCTCTAAGCAATTTTTGCTACCTAACAATATTCAACAATGGTATCAGAACAAGGACTTGCACACACATGGTTCTAATCATGGAATATTAAAATCTTATTTGGACCAGCTATATTTTTCAAAGCACTATATTAAAATGATTATTTATTACTGCTTTGTATGCAGATAAATATATCTTAATCTGGAGAACATTATTTCTTTGATAAGTTTATGTAAATATCTTTCTTCAAATGTAAATAATTTTTGTTCCTATGGTTCTTACTAAACCTTTCCTTTGACGAAGTTAAGGCAATAGCGATAAAAACAATGAAGGTATCGTACAGTGTAAGAAACTCTGCTGTTTTTCAGTAACCAAATAGTGATAAAGTTTGCTTACAAGCTGAGAAAATATACCTGTTAATATATATATATATAAATTTAATCATTTAATTATCCAAGTTATTGAGCATACAAAGTAGAGCTATTACTATTCAAAATAAAAATGTATAGTTCCTTGATTTTAAAAATTTTATATGTTACATACACACACATATATGTATGTGTGTGTATATATGTATCTTATTAATATTTAATTCAACACAGTAAATTTCCCAACAGGTTAAAAAATCAGAGTGCTAAGAGAGTGTGAGCATATGTAAAATAATTGAGTTACATTATAAGGAGAGCAATGTGAAGTGAATACATATGTTTAATATAGTGTAACATCAAAATCACCATTAAAATCCCTCAAATCATTCACAAAATACTTTATACATTGTTTTGGATAAACATTAATGCATGCAAAAATATGTGAAAGCTTTGAGATGAAACAAAGAAAGGAAGAGGAGAAATTTCTCATCACAGATTCTAAATACTTGATCCAGTCTTACTTTAAGCCAACTATGTAACCCCCCAAGATAAATAGGAAATGGGTGGAGATTCTATATTCTTTGTTAATTTCCAGCACTTATAACATTCAATTTTAGTATTAAATATTACTAAACTTAATGTAACTAAATACATATGTTTGTTTTTATACGGATAACAGAAGTTAACGAGCTTGCCTTTTCATGTAGGTTCAAAAGTCTTGACAGAATTTGAATAAGCAAGCACAAACATTAAAATATTATAATTCTACAATTCTAATATATGTCTATATCTATGTCTATATCCATATCCATGTCCATATCTATATGTATTTACCTTATCTAGGACAGTGTCAAGTAGGAAATATTCCTGGTCAGTATTACAATTAGGTTTTCTTGAAAGATGAATATGATTTGGCTAAGCAGGGAAATGAGCAGAAGCCCTCATTGTGTAGAACATGGGAAGGCACTGAGGCATGGCAAGACACAGCATTGCCAAGGTATAGCAAGTTGTTCCATGTGCCTGGAGCACAGGTGTGAAGGGAAACTGCCAAATTATGAGACTAGAGAACTAATCATGAGGCAGATTATAAAGGGGCTGGTATGCCAAGCTAAAGGGTTTGAATTTGGTCCCAAAGGTAACAGGGGGCCATTCATCAAACAAAACTCAACTCATCACATGAAATTAAAATAGGAGTGAAAGAAAAGGAACAAAAAGCAAGGAGGGAAATTACTACTAATGCATCCCTCATCTTCTCCATTCAATAATAGTTTTTAAAAGATAAAGCAGTGCTAGTAGTATTAAACATACCTTGCCTTATACTTCAAGTTGTAGAAAGGCAATGTAGAAGGCAATGTAGAAAAGCAATGATGTAGTCAAGACTGAAATGCTATCTGGCAACTCATGGCTACAATGACATGAACATAAGTACACAATGGTCCTGTGAGAGGAAGCATCCAGTCAAGAATCTTCAATGATAGGTAACTAGACTTGGATAGGTAACTTGACAGGAATTCATTTCACTTTCTAAGCCTTGAGCTTTGAGACATCATCATGTGAGTCTTCATCACCAATGGGCTCAGAAATTCTGGGAATGTTTTATGATTGAGGGGTGCAGAGTAAGGATGCCTACCAGATAACTATTTGAATTTCTGTCAACCTAACAGTTATAACAAATGACATTTCTCTTTTATGACAATATTTTTGAGTGGCTCTAGAACTACATATATCTCTAAAATTGAGGTGTATGTCCCTCAATGTTAATTTTTTCTGAATGCCTAGTATGGATCAAATCAAGTGCCTCAGGACACAGTAGTTCAGTTTTGATTAACATGAAAGATGGAAAAAAGAATTTACATTGAAAATTGACAGAAACTTTTGAACCCAAGCTCTGCCATGTGCAAACAATGTGATCTTGTGAATGTTAGTCTTTATTATCCTTAATTTCCTGATATGAGAAAGAATCCAATGTACCCACTTTTTAATATTCTTGAGAAGATTAAGTTATATAACATATGCAAAGGTCTCTGATCAAATGACAAAAATAATGTAAATCAGTACTTAATGTAATGCACCTTGAATGATAAAACACTATTATTTGTGCCTTGAGACACAAATGAAAGGGAGATCAGCATAGTTTTGTGGAGTCAAAAGGAAGATTTATTGAAGATGTAGAAATCACACACATACACAAAATCCCTAAGTAATTCTTGTTTTTACTTTATGTCACGTTGTTAAGGTTATACTATTACACAGAGAAAATCAATTAAGAAGTTGCTAAAAAGCAGATTAGAGTTTTAAGGAACTAAAGAATTGCTACAAAAGAAAGGTGGACTCTACACTATAATTGTTATTCTTATACAAGTTACTGTTGCCAGTGCAAAGTAGAGCTGGATAGATTTGATCTTGCCATGAGTAACTACCTTCCCAAAGCAAAATGTTCACTCATGTGTGGTGAATTACAATGCCCCAAGGTACAACTTAGTAAATTGCTTCTTCTAAGGCATTGACTGGAACCCCTGAAGAAAAATAAAATCAGTGTGTGCTAGTGAACTCTGTGTTCTCAGACAAATTGTTTTCCATAGGATTAATGTAACAAAGCAAACTTGAATGTCTATGGTGTTATTAACTTTTTTCCCTTATAAAATGACCTGGAGGTTTATATTTGCTTAATGTTATGCATATCTTCAGTCCATTGGAAAACATTAGAAATGTGAAACAACATTTTTCTTTCACCACATACGTATTCATTTAGTCATAAAGAATAAAATTGGCTGTATCAAAGGATCAGAATTAATAGCAGGTAATTTTACATCAACCCTAGAGTATGTTGCTCTTAGAAATAGTCTATGAGTTATTTGAAATGCTTTGAGATATTCCTGAATATTTACTTTCTGCATCAAAGATTATTCATTCTTTCTCCTACATATTATTTGAGACTTTCTCTTAGAAATACACAAAAAGAGTATGTGTTTTGCAAGGTTACAGGATTGATGCTCTTGCCCATGAAAATAGCATGGGGAAGGCTTCAGAGACTTCTTGTTTTCTCTGAATGTACAATTTAAGAGAAACTGGAGAATTATTTGCAATCATATTTTAAGGATCAAAAATGGTGTATGTAAAATTATATAACTAGCAAATATTAGAAAAATAATAGAGTTTTGAAATAGGATTCTATAAAACCAAATTCAACTTATGTGTAAGCTTCGTTTGTTATGATTTTTGTATAATTATAAAATATAGATACTATTTTATCTCCACTTTGATAGGAAGCTCTTGATATTGTTGATGATTTTTTGCTAAAACTCAGATAACAGCACATTATTTCTATACTTACTGTCAACAGAGCTCAAGTATATTTTTTTCACAGTAATAGGCCTCTGAGTTCCATCAAGATGAATTTCTTCATAGTCCATCCATTAGGCACCAAAAGAAAGCATGCAAGCACCCTTTTCTCTTCAAGATCTGTAAATTCTTAATCACATTTTGATACACTTTCTGTATGAAGAATTAACAGAAATCAATTTCTATACTTTTTTGTTTAAATTATTTTACTTTTTCATGTTTCCTTCTATCCCCAATCAAACATAACTCTCCAATTATCTTAATATCAATGGGAAAAATTTAAAAAAAGTAGTGGAGAATTTGTGAGTTATTTAAGATTTAGCACTAAAGAACTCAGAAATCCTAGATTTTAGTTCTTATCTAAGAAAATAACTAGCTATTTTTCTCATGTGTAATATGATGGGGTTGCTTCATTCATTAATTAATTTATTCATTCAACATTAAGGTAGTCATCTAATAATATAATAAATCTTTATTTCAGTCTTACCAAGAACCTAAATCTAGGCAAGTCTTTATAGCACTCAACATGGAACAAACCATAATAATTGCACTAAAGATGTTTATAATTTATTAAGACATGGATCTTAAACTTTTTGTTTGCTAATCCCATATGTATATTATTTATAATTCATCATGTATAGATTTGTAGTTATATTAACATTATTAATAGCAAACTAATAAATTTTAAATAGTAATCATAATAGAAATCACTTTACTTTTAAGACTTAAAGTATACATGAACAGTTAAAATAAATATTATGTGAATAATATTGAAATATATTTTAATATTAGTAAAAATATTTAAATATATTTTATCCATGTTATAAAATATTTTTCTTTGTAAAATGCAATTGATATTTTAAAATATACATATTTTACCTAATATTTCATTATCTTATAAAATATAGAATTGAATATTATGATGATTCTAGAGTATTACTCTACCTTAATTTATAATTTAACTCTAATGACTTTCAAAGTGAAAATTTTACCAAAAAAAGATAAACACACCTTCATGGAAAGAGTATATGGTTGATTTCAGCAACCAACTATGAATCTTCTTTATCAATAATACCTCACATCAATCACATAGGAACTTATGAGAGTTAGCTAATACATTTCTACCTTTATTGATATTCATTAGTTTTCTGTCAAAATAACAGAAGATGTATAAACAAGTTTTCAAAATGTGATATAAACCCAACAGATTCTTTTACAAATATTTTTGAGAAGGTTAATAAATAAAATAAATTGTAATTCCCAATTTATATTTAAAATGTTCCAGTGTGGTAGGTAGGTAGTTACAGATGGCACACTTGTATTATTTTTGGCAACTAACCCTTCTAATAATGAAAACATTTACAAACAGCATTTTTTCCATAAATGTTCTTCATAATTTTTTCCCTAAGAGCAATTACTTTTTTATTTATTTTCAAAACTATGTTTAGTTTGAAAGGATAAATTTGGGACATTTTATGTAACATACTAGTATTTACAGTTATTTCTCCTTGAAGATAAGGTAGACAATTCAAAATCATTCTTTTTCAGAACTGAAACACATGAGTGATTGATCATAAAGTTCAATAACAATTTTGAATTAAGATGTTTATATTGACATAATTTCAAACTTATAAAATAATTGCTAAAATAGTGGAGAGTTCCCTAATCCTAATATTAACATCTTACATAACCATAGTATAATTATCAAACAAAGAAATTATCACCAGTAAAATACTATTAGTTAAATCACAGACTTTCTTTATTCTGATTTCTTTAGTCTTCCCACTAAGTCTTTCTTCTATTCCAGGATCAGTTCAGAATCCCAGTTTAGAATTTAATTTTGTTGCTTGTGTTCTTAGAATCCTTCCTACCACATTCTTGGGGTTTTTTGTTTTTTTTTGTTTTGTTTTGTTTTGTTTTTATGAGACAGAGTCTTGTTCTGTTGCCCAGGCTACAGGGCATCATCTTAGCTTACTCCAACCTCCAACTCCTGGGCTCAAGCAATCCTCCTGCCTCAGCCTCCAGAGTAGCTGGGACTACAGGCGAGCATCACCATGCCCAGCTAATTTTTGTATTTTTGTGGAAACAGCTCTTGCTCTGCTCAGGCTCATCTCCAACTCCTGAGAGCTCAAGCAATCCTCCTGCTTTGGCCTCCCAGAGTACTAGGATTACAGGCATGAGCCATCATGCCTGGCTGTTCTTAGTCTTAGTTTTTTATGAACTTGGCATTTTAAGTAGTACCAGCAGTTTTTTCAACCAGCCTCTCAATTGAACTTTTTAATATTTTCTCATAAGTTGATTGTGGTCATCTATTTTTGGCAAGTATAGCACAAAAGGGATGTAATAGGGATATGATATAAATGTCTTCTTGCAGTCAATGTTATGTTGATCATTTTGTTAAAGTGATGCTTGTTTCTGAACTATAAAGTCATTGTTTAAAAATTTTTAATTAATAAACATCTTAAGGTACATACTTTGAGACTATGCAAATATTGTCTTTTCATTTAATTGAGACTATGCAAGTATTGTCTTTTCATTTAAGTATTTGCATATTTATGTTAGCTTCCATTGGTGCATCTTGCCTGTAAAAATTATTACTGTGATATTCTAATGGTGATTTTCTCTTTCCTTTTTCCATTATACTTTTATTAACTAGAATATTCTGTAAGAATCAGCTGCCCTTTCTCTCCTATTTACATGATTATCAATTATTGATATCAATATGAGTCCATTGATCTTATACTTGGGCTATATTATAATACAATTATAATTTATTTTATTATTTAAATTGCTCCAGCTTTGGTGCTTAGTTCCAGTGCCCTTCAATGCCCCCAAACCCCAAACTTTTTCAAACCCTTTCTACTACAAAACACCTGTGTTTTTCCATATAAAGTACTGGGATCTGCCAGTTTTCTAAGGCCTTGGTTCCCTTTACTGGAAAATGGTATTTAGACATCAAGATCTCAGCAATAGATGTGCTTATTGCTACTAGAATGTCATTGCTCCTAGACCCTAAGAAATATAAATATGTATACTAACCCATGCATACACATCTTATGTGTATCTATCTACCTATCATCTATCTATCTATATCTATCTTTACCATGATCACTAGCTATCTACTATCTATTTAATCTATCTCTAAATACCATGAATTTAGGCTGGGCACAGTGGTGGGCATTTGTAGTCCTAGCTACTCAGAAGTCTGAGGTGGGAAGATTGCTTAAGCCCAAAATTGCAGTGAACTATAATTGTATCACTGCACACCAGCCTGGGCAACAGAGCAAGACCCTGTCTTAAAAAAATAAAATAAAAGCAAAAACAAAACACAAGTTCATACTGATACTACTGAATCCAATCCAATGCCACAACTTTTATTCTATATTTTTCCTTTGTCTATTTGTAATATCTTTATCCACGAGTAAGAAATCTACCCTTTATTATTTATATTATTTATTTAATCCTAGCATACATACACATAAAAGTAGTTTCAGAATTTCTTCCAAATTTGCTAAGTACAATATATCTGTAAAAATCCTATATTTTCTTTCTGTAGCTCTCAATATTGTTTCTAAATACTGTTGAGGCTTTGTTGGGGTAATAGTGGCAGTAAAAGTCTTTCTAATGCTCTATATCTTTGAGTGGAACTCAGAAGTTCAATAACTCTCTTAAGTGATTTGCCATGAGATCATCACTAAAACTTTATGTAGAGTTAAGAAAAAAAGATAATTATGGTCATTTCCCACCTCATTACAAAGTTTTACAAGTATCTATCCATGAAGATAATATTAAATATCTATAAATCCATTTATCAGACATATGGATATTATAATACATTAAATGTGAAAAACTAGTTAGGGTGATACAGTCAACCTTTCTCCTTAGGAAATGTCACCTGTTTTTATTTATAGGTTAGGTTATCTTTATGAAAAATATGTATCACTGATTTTTGGAACTTGAGATAACATTCATGGAAACTTGGCACCATTAGGTGGACATTAATATAGACTTTTCCAACCTTTTAGTTCTATCACTTCAATATGAGATCTTCTGCATTACTGCAGAAGCAGAGGAATAGAGGACTTGGGCAATTGTACATTGATTTTTCCCAAATTAGTCTAGAAATGACCCATCATTGCTGTTTTCCTGTTATTGGTCAGCTGTAGTCACTTGGTCCTTGCCAACTGCAAGTGGCTAAGGTGTAGGTTGTTCCAAGTGCTTGGAATAGGGAAAACTAAATATTGGTAAATATTAAGAGTATCTATAACACTTATTTTTTATAGATATACTACTAACAGAATACAAACTGAATGTATTAAATAGAACTTGAACTTTGAAAGATAAAAATAAGTAGAAACGTAAGTTCTTATGTTTTATTCTTGTATCTCAGGAGACTCCATTAAATGTCTCTTAGAAACAAGTACCCTAAACAAGTACCTTCTATGGCAGGATACAGCCAAACAGGAAAAGAAATACAATGTTCCTTTCATACTGCTGAAACACATAGGAGCAGTACCCAATCACGTGTTGAAAGACAAAGAATATCCTTAAGCTGACACTTTTAATATCACTAGAAGCAAGCTAGGCAAAGAGGAAATAGAATGCCCCAGAAACTCTTAGAACTTACATTCTAAGAACAATTTCTAATTGTAATATGACAGAAGAAAAAGGGAATTTCTCTAGAGACGTATAGAGGTTTCTTTCAAAATAAGGTTATATGATTAAAAGTGGATCATTTTATTTACATAAGCCTGATCAATCAAATTGCATTTCTTAATATGCAAAATTTTAGTGTTGCTGATGAAGAAACATAATTAAACAAAAAATGCGGTAGCCCAAGATTTTTTTATTTGATTGGTATTAAACATAAATCTGAAACAGGCACTCTGGTGTTATTTGCAGCCCGAAACTCAAATGGATTAAGAAATATATTGCTAATGATACTGTTCCCTTATGCAAATAATTAAGTAAACAATGAATCCCACAAGCAAACCTAAAAAATTGCAGATTTTGCCTATGCCCTTAATATGTTGTTAAACTCCATCCATCAAAAAAAAAAAGTAGTCATACATTTAATGCAAAGTTACTTTCATTTGGTGTTGACTTGTTTTTCCTGTAATAATGTGGACATTTTTTCTGTGATAATTATGTAGGGGTCACTCACATATCTCAGTTACATCATTTAAGGGATATATGGCTATGTTTAAATATGAATACAAATAACTGAAATTTTATTTATTTTCATTATCTATGCCTGGAAAGAATATTGTGTAGTAGAAGAGAAAATAAGATTTATATTAAATGAGATTTAAATTTGAAATAAAACTGACAGATCTAAATGAACATGAGCCACCTATAAAATGGGGCTAATAGAACTTGTTGTACATAGGTGTAATGATGATAAAACTAGAAAACTTACATAAAACACCTAGATAATTCTTGGAATGACAACCTACTAAAAATTTAAGATAATTTGAAGATGAACTAAGATGAAAAATTATTGGTTATATCAGTTAAAATCACAGGTTCATGTATGTTAAGCTATTTAAATTAATCTTCCCCACAAGCTGCCTCCTTTAAAGATTGAGAGACTACTGTCAAACCTGCAATGATTCTCACCATTAAATTATTCTATACCATTAAAAAATACTCATTAAGAGAATGAAAGGAAAAGCCACAGACTGAGAGAAAATATTTGTAAAACATTTATCTGCAAAGGACTAGTATTAAAATATAAAAAGAACTCTTAAAACTCAACAATAATAAAACAACCCAATTAAAAGTGGTCAAAAGATCTGAACAGGCATCTCACCAAAGAAGATATACAAGTGGCAAGTAAACATATGAAAAGATGGTTAACAGTATATGTCACTAGGGAATTGAAAAATAAAAACAATAATGAAATACCATCACATGAACATTGGAATGGCTAAAAGCCAAAACCTGCTAGCTTCAAATGCACAGCAATGGGAATGCTCATTCATTTTGTTGGTTGAAATGAGAAATGAGCAGTTGTATGTGTGTGTTTTTTAATATTGCCTTACCATATGATCCAACAATTGTGATTCTTAGTATTTATTCAAATTAGTTAAAACCTAACATCCACAAGAACTTGCCCACCAATATTTTTAGCAACTTAATTTGTAATTGTCAAAAACTAAAGCAACCAAGCTGTGATATAATTATGTAATGAAATATTATTCAGCCATAAAAAGAAATAAACTATCATACCACACAAAGGTATGAAAGAACTTTAAAGGCATATTGCATTGAAAGGTTTCATACTCTGTGATTCCAAGTATATGACATTTTGAAAAAGGCAAAATTTATGAATAGTAATAAGATCAGTGGTTGTCAGGTGTTAGGCAGGAGAGGAATGAATAATAGTGAACAGGGGATTTTTAAGGCAGTAAAACTATTCTGTGATAGTTGAATGGTAGATACATGACATTATGTATTTTTTCAAAACCAATGGAACTGTAGAAGGCAAAGAGTGAAAACTAATGTAAACTATGAACATTAGTTAATAACAATATATCAATATTGGTTCATCAACTGTAACAAATATGCCACACTAATGCAAAATTTCAATACTAGGGGAAACTGTAAGAGGGATGAGATAAAATATTGGAAAACTGTATTATGTGTATAATATTGTACAAACATAAACCTGCTCTAATAATAAGATATATTAAAAAAATAATAACTCAGAGAACTGAAGAGTTCCCTAGTTGTTTCTTGTATACATTGTTGAATACCTTAATTATTTTTTTATTACCTGATGTCGTCAGTAAATAAATGAGCTTCTCTGGAACATAA